CTTGATCTTGTACAAGGAACTTTGTTTTCACCTGCAAGGTGGGAGAGGTAGTATCTTTTATTGGACGAACTTCTGTTGGTGAGAGAAACTTTCGACAAGCTTCAGAGAGCTCTGTGTACCTCAAAAACTTGTCTCTCTCACCAACCAAAGTTGGTCCAATAAAAGATATTACCTCAACTTGTCTCTCTAATATCCTGGGACCAGCACAGCTACAACACTGCAACTCACATTATACAATCCTCTGCCCATCAGTGGGATAGCTAATTGACTGCACTGCAAAGGCACATAAGATCCTGTATTGTTTTCTCTTCCCTTGTTGTTATTTTCTACTCCCACTATCTCTATCCTCTCTCTCACTCTCTTGTCTTTTCATCAAATCCTGAAGTCAACTCTGCTGTATTCGTCCAAGCCTGCCTTGTGCAAGAAGAAAAGATAATCAGATGACATCCCTGACCAGATTGTAAGACAAGGTCCAAGCAGCAAGTGTCGTGGTTGACTTGTCAGCCAAAGCACCAGCTCGTAACTAACCAGCGATCCACTATTCCAAAAACACCCCAAAAAGCCGTATTTCATACCTCTTTTCTATCCTCTCTCGCCATCTTGTCTATCTAGAACAGAGTAAGTAAATGTCCTCTACGCACCAGGACAAATGAAAATACCTTTTCCTTTTCATCAAAGAAAGGTTGCTCTGAAAATAAGAGACTCATATTTTGTCTCCAAAAAGAGAGACTTTAAAGGTTTTGACTAAGTTTGTTTTGCATAATCACTCAACCACAGTTTCAATATAAATGCCTGTTTTAATTTCTTATTCTTTCTTATGTTTAATCAATAAACTTTTAATTTGAACTAATGCTTTTGGGTGTTTGCCATGTAACGGAGTAAAACCAAGGCCTCTGTTTAACTTACCTATCTGTTTAATGTTGACAGTCAAAGAGTTTATAAACAGCTTTAATTCTTTAGGCCTTTGAGATCAATACTACAGCTTCGCACCCAGTGAGGCAGGGCTTACCCCAGATCCTGGCACACACAAAAGGAGGCAGGGAGTAGAGCTCAGACACCCCATGTGGGCAGGGACCCCCCCACCCTCAGATCCTAGCTCACATGAAATGGGGAAAGGAGAGGGGCTCAGACCCACCCACAAAGACAAGCCCTCCAGAACCTGGCTCATATGAGTGGGCACATGGAAAGAGGTCAGCCCCCGATAGATGGGCAAGGGATCCCTCAGATCGTGCCACAGACACCCCGGGGGGGGGGGGGGGGGGGGGGGGGCGG